GAGAGAGATTAATAACCTAGAAACTTACTGTTAGATCGTTGAGAGAGATTAATATCCTAGAAACTTACTGTTAGATCGTTGAGGGAGATTAATATCCTCGAAAATTCATTTTTCTCCTCGTCCAGCCAACTTGTCAGTGTCAATACATCTTCTTAATATTCATCAATCAATCAATCAATCACTCAACAAAGCACTCGATCAATCAATCAACCAACCAACTAATATTTTGTTGGTTTAGCTTCAAATTTCTATCAACCAGACAATTAAATAATCTTGTCAATACATCTTCTTAATATTCATCAATCAATCAATCAATCGATCACTCAACAAAGCACTCGATCAATCAATCAACCAACCAATTAATATTCTGTTGGTTTAGCTTCAAATTTCTATCAACCAGACAATTAAATAATCTTGCCAACACTTCCACATAACCCAAAATAAAGATTATCATTAATCCTAAGATCTGCAAGCTATTAATTCATCCGTCAGTTTTATAATACAGAATTTCTACCTTCGTCCCTAGAGTCCTTAAGCATGTCAATGAATGCCTGGAGTAGGTTGGATACAGCATCACAGTTCTCTATCAAGTGTAGAGAGAGGGACGGTACTACAGGGTACAAGACAATAAGTCAATCAATCAATCAATCAATCATGTTTTGGAGTAGATTACGAACAACATCACAGTGCTCTTATCAGGAAAAGCGAGAGAGAGGGATTTACAGGGTACAATTAGTCAATCAACCAATCAATTAATCACTCACGCAATAATTTAACTTTCAAGTAAATTTACACTAAGAGACAGAGATAAGTATAAAGCCAAATCTAGAGTCGAAAAGTTGAATTATCAGAGATTTTGTAGATCAGGCACATCTGATTTGATAAAATAGAACTGAAATTTCACTGAAAATGTGTGTGATGAAAGGCCCAGTGACGTAATTTCAAGTGACCCCGCATGCAAGGATTGCAATGCCCGATTTACAACGGTACCCTTAAAAGCTTTTTCTAATCAAGTATCAATTAGATATCCATGTTTTTGTTTCTTTAAGCTGTTTATTTTCATTTTAAGTTTCCTTGCTTATAAGAAGCAAAGAAACTCACAAAACGAACACTTTTTGAGTCAGAAAA